AGTATAGAGGGGGGCAACAACTGGTTCGGCGGTGAGAGAGGTCACAGCAACTATGAGAAGGAGCTGAAATAGAAAAAGAAAACGAACCCGCCCCCGTGGAAATCGGTGATGGGTTTGAAGGCAGAGGTGGCGGTGGAAGTGGAGGAGGACATCTTCAAAAGAGGGATGCCACTGCAATTCATGTTGAACGTTGAGGAAGTCGACCTCACTGCTCACATGCTCTGGCCTCGGAGCTCAGAACTGCATATCTCTCTGTGTCAAAGTCTTGTTTTTTCCTTTCTTCTTGTTTGGGAACCCTTCTTTTTCAAATCTTCTACGATCCTACGTTTTTGGTACACTCGTGGTTATGAAACCAGCTTTGTTTAGATGGCGGATCGTTCTATCGAAGTTCCTCTTCCTGTCTCTGTATAAGAAATGCTAAGAACTATATGTGAGCAACAGTCACCGCCACCTGCTGAAATGAGTACAAGGAGAGAGCTGGCTTTGCTTGGAGAAGAGGCGTCTCTGCAGCATCTTTGGCGAATTTCCGGTCAAAGAATCCGATCCCTGACAAGATTTATCATTTATATGGCGAGAAGTGTGTGTACAACCGTGTCTATTCGGGAAAGCGTGTGCTTCTCCGGGCCACGTAGTTCTAAAAGTTTAGCTTCTGTTTCTATGCAAGGTAACTTCATATGTGCATAATCCTCGTCGTCGTTTTCATTTCAACATTTCTTTATGCCCATTTTAGGTAATTATGCACCGACAGATTTCATTCGAGCCGTATAARTTCTCTCTGCAATCTTCACTGAATTTGTGGTTTCTGATTTGGGTTCCCCCTTAACTCGTTGTTTCTTGTAGGCTATGATGATGCTATCGACACAAATTTTATGGAGCACAAAAGTTAATGATAAATTCAAAGGAATTTATTTATTTATTTATTTTTACAAAAATTTAAGTGGGATACAAACTTTTTTTTTTTAAGAATACTCTTTAATTCTCTTGTCACAAACGCGATTAAACTTGCATTTGTAGCTTGTCACGGACACGACCCGTAAAGCTTGACGACTTTAATGGTAGGAGGTCCTTTGTAGTGATTCGACGAAGATCTCCTTGACTACAATAATTTAATAGAAGATTTCTTGTTTGCATTAATTTGATAGGAGTTTTCTTTGAGTGTAGCAACTCAAAGGACCAAATTCTTCAATTCGCATGACACGGGACTGCAGTAGTTTTAAAGATTCAACAGTTAAGAACTGAAATTCTGATTGGGAATTGCTGGAGAGAGTCGAAGAGGAGAGAATGATTTCAGTTGAAAATCTCTCAACATGCACGTGGCTAACAACGTTTAATTTGAAACTTCAACAATTCAACATCGGCTCATGAGCTAGACTTCTTCCAAATTCTTTTGTCTTCTCCCTTCCTTCTCTTATTATTTTTTTATCTTCTCTTTTCTATAGACGAACGAGCTCTCTTCATCCTCCTGGTCACTTCGAGAGAGAGAGTTTCCTTGCTCTCCTCTCCATTTTATAGTGGATGGATACATTTGAAAAGCCCTCCCCATTTCAATTTTGAAATCCTCGTTATAAAAGGGAATGCCATTAGTGATCTTTAATAGATTGTTGACCAACCTTAATTTTTTCTTACCAAATCATCAATTAGGCATTATTGCACATTAATCTCCATTAAATGAGTCCCACCAGATCCTCCAGCTATTAACGTGATTCTCTCTTATCGATCCTAATCAATCGTCAACAATCCATTCATGAGGACATTTTACTAAGATCTAATTAGTCTCCACAAGTTAGGCCATGGGATCAATTTTTTTTTGTGATTCAGTGGAGGGCCCACATAAAATAAAAGGAAATACCATATCAATTAGCTAGTTAGTGATTCTTCAATTAGCCAACTGTCGTTTCTCCTTTTATTTTGTCACTTAAGAACCTTTAAATGTCAATACAATTTAATCCAAACCCGCCACATTAGTTTGAGAAGATTTCTTGCTGATTTGCCATGTGTAACTTTGGGTGATTACGCACCATGTGTAACTTTACCMTATGGGATTGGCAAGCCAAGGGATTAAATCCACTTACAAAAAGATATATCTTGGCCATCCTTCTTTCCATATTAATTGCCACTTAAATGCGGGTCCCACCAAATTGATTAGAGGGGATCTCTCTAACAAGATTTGAGAGTTTAAGAAAACCTCAGTAATTTTCACTCAACGGTGGGATTTACCTCAAAATTCAAGCCTCTACGTGGTAGGCGCTCATTTCTATTCACTTTGATTTATAGTGGGCCCTATCCAACATCTTTTTTGGGCCCAAATTTTGTCATCCTTTTCTTAGTGTGCCAATAGCTCATTTTCATCCAATTTCATATTGGGCCCAAAACTTACATATCAGCAGTTACCTCGCACTCTCTGAGGTTATAGTGTCTTTGTAGGCAGAAGAGCGCGTGGCTTGGGTTTGGAGGGGATGAGCAGAGAATCCCTTCTCATGGCGTTGGGTGAGTGTTGGGAGATAAAAAGAATGAGAGAGGATAGTGAAGGAGGAGAAAAGAAGAGAAGAAGGGGAAAATAATAAGTTAAATAGGTTTTAAGAGAAAAAGGGTAAAAAAAGAAAATAAAAATAGTTTAATGAGGTATTTTGGTAATTTAACGCATTTTGTCATCTGACTTAACGATCAAGGGGGGTCTTTATCTCATGTTCATAATACAAGGGGGTCTTTGTCGCAAAACAAAGTACAGGGGGGTCTTTATCACAGACCCCATAGTACAGGGGAGATCTTTATAATTATATGGAGATATTCCCAATATAAGGCTGTAACCGAAGCCGAACTCAATTCATTCACATATCCAATGCCATGTAAAACCTAACACAAATTTTACAAGATTAAATACAAAGGAAGGAATAAGCCATATAATGTAATCAGAATAAAATGATATATCTAATTATCAAATCTCACTTACTAACTCGTTGATCGGTAAGGCCTTCTGCTAGTTGTAGGGATGGGCTACACCCCATAAGCAACGTTCAAAATTGAGTTGCACATTGGGAATACCTCTAGTAATGCATATTGAAAATTGAGTTGTAGGGATGGGCTACACCCCATAAGCAACGTTCAAATATTTGAATTCGAATTCTATTAGAAAATTCGGTATTCGAATTTGATTCGATATCCAATGGATATTGAAAATTAATATCTGAATTCGAATCTGATTAAATATTTGAATATCCGATTCGATTCGAATTCGATTAATTAATTATTTTAGATAATTAATAAATATATAAAATAAATATTTGATTGATATAAAGTATATAAATATATAAATTATTTATATAACTTAATTATTATATATATTATATAAAATATTTTATATATCATATATAAGAATTAAATAATCGGTCGAATTAAGATATTTATCGAATCGAATCAGGTCATATCTGAATTCGACCAATTAGATATTCGAATTATCCAAATTCGATTCGATTTTGTCGAATATCGAATTCGAAATCGGATTTTCGAATACCGTTGACACTTCTAATTATATTATATACTTGGTGATGCTTGGTGATAGGGGTGGCAATTTTTAACCCAACCTGCTAAACCCACTCAACCCACCTAGTATCTAACCCACCCAACCCGCCCATTTACTTGGCGGGTTGTGTGATCAATCCATCACCCAACCCACCCACTTAAATGGGGTGGGTTGTGGATAACCATTGGGTTAACCATTATAGACATAAGTATTAATTCCTTAGCAATTTTTTTTTTAATTTTCTTCATTTGTATTAATAATTTATAATTAATGCATTAATTTTCTATTAATAATTGACTAAATTTAGTTTTGTCTTGAATCAATACACTTCACCCAACATAAATCCAAATCAAATTGACTTGAGTCTGGACCAGTTCAACGCGGTCCAACCCCGATCCAGCATATACTGATCCAGGTCGACCCGAATTCGAAATAGACTATGAGTGGGATGGTTCGGTGCCGCTTGCTCTATCCAATTTGGGCCATCCGGTCCAACCAATATTCACACGCTCCGACTCGACTCGGTACAAGTCGATCCAAGTCGAGCCGAATCCGAAACGGTTTTGGGTGGGATGATTCGGCCTCTGCGTGTTTTGCCCAAATTGGACAATCCTTCTGACCGATATCCACACGACCCAAACCGGATATGGACCGACCCGATTTTAGTTACATGGACCCGGTTCGAGTTAGCCAGTCCAGTCCAGAACCCGTGCACAAACCTGCTATGGCCTGGTCCAAGCCAATCCACCATTGCCTAAACTGGTCCGATCCGACCGAATTGATCCAAATCTAAATAGTTCAACCACCCTTGAACCTAAGTAGTTTAAGTTGGTTTGGACCTAAATGGTTCGGTTAAACCCAAAATCCGAACATTCAAATGGCTTCGTCACTTATGTAAAAATAACATGCATATAATGTGATTTAAACCTTTACCACTTATGTAAATAATAACTACAATAACCACCAAGCTACAACCAACTTATTTATTAAGAGAGAGAATTTGTTTTTTAAGTTTATAAATATAAGATTAATGGATTTAGGCGGGTCAAATTGGGTTAAAGCGGGTTTGGGTTAATCCAATCCATTTAATTTTATATAAGTGGGTCATTAATAAATTGACGGATTAGATGATTTGATTGAAAGTCAACCCAAACCCAACCCGCCCAACCCCCAGGTGATTCGAATTCGATCTGGTTATTGGGCGTTAAGAAAGTGATCCATTTAATTGAATATGGGTTCATACTTAAATTATATTATATACCTAGTAAAATTCGTATAAAATACTAAATAAAAGCAAATTCGGATCTGCCTGTACCTGTTGGCTGTTTCGATTCGATCCGTTTGCGGCCTATTACGTATTTGTGAAGGATGTACGGGGACCGATTGGGGGGAGGGGTGGTTTTGGAATAAAAATCTCCATTCAATTTTGTCGTTTAATGTATAAAGAAGAGATGCGCGCATTGCATAGCAATTCGCAATTTAGCATCCTCATTCCCAATCCCTTGATTCCCTTCCCCGTTCTGGGTCCCGGTTGGTAATATGAAATGAACCAGAAGCTACGAGTCCCGATAGCTTCCTCTTTCTGATTGGTGGCAGGCTGCCGCTTAAAGGACACGAGTGACGCAGAAGAAACTAGGGACTGAAGGAGTGAGGGAGGGACTAAAGGAACGAAGCCGTCGGACATGGCCGGAAGAAATCGGCTCCCGCCAAATGCCCTAAAACTTCGAGAAGCGCCGCTCGCGATGGGGGGCCACCTCCCTCCCCATCCTGCCCTAATCGAAGATCCTCTCTTGCCTTTACCCATCCACCGCGTCCCTTTGCCATTACCTGGCGCTGCTGCTCGCCCCCACCCTGTCATCATCGAAGAGCGCCTTGTCGCTCAGCACCGGGAGATCCAATCCCTTCTCCTTGACAATCAACGGCTTGCAGCTACTCACGTGGCCCTCAAGCAGGAGCTTGCCGTCGCTCAGCAAGATCTCCGCCACTTATCGGCTGCTGCGGCCGATGTTAAGGCCGAGAGAGACGCTCAGGTCAGAGAAGTCTACGAGCGGTCGTTGAAGATGGAGGCCGAGGTCCGGTCGATCGACACTCTGAATGCCGAGTTGGCTCAGGTCAGGGCTGATGTACAGAAGTTGACTGTGGCCAGGCAGGATCTCACTGCCCAGTTGCAGGCCCTCAACAGCGACTTTACACGGTCCCGGGCCGAGTTGCAGCAAGTTCCGGCTATCCAGGCCGAGATTGAAACCATGCACCAGGAGCTCCAAAGAGGAAGGTTTGCCGCATCTTATTTTATTTTTCAATTGTTCTCTTTACGCCATAGAAAATGGGTAGTTCTGTACTCTCTGGTATTTGATGTCATTCCCATTATCTCATGATATTAATACGATCAAGCAAGACTGGTAGCTAATGCAAATTCCTGTTTGTCATTGATGATTAACTAGTTGGTTTAGTCATAGGATGAAAACCAGCACCACATCTTATCTGGGAAAGAAATGTATTGAAGAAAACATGTAGACGGTGCCAAGTATTCATCCAAGCAAAGAGTCTTTCTTTTTTATCGTTACCAACTAGATGATTTATGCAATTAGTGGCCAAATCTTTGGTCTTTGGAAATTTCCCTAGAACATTGGGTCTTTGGAAGGTTTATTCTTATTCCGTATAGTGCTATGTTTGGACTTTGAAATCCATGTTTGTTATCCTTTTTATCCAACTATTTAAAACCATGGAGGTCGCAATTATAATTCCTCCGAACAACTAACCCTTATAATTTTCCGCCTCCACATCTGTGCACCTTCCCATCCAAAATAAATATCTTCCAACTGACAGTTTGATTAGTCTGGGATAATAGTTTTGTTGATTTGAAATTCTTTATAATAAAAATTGGTATATGGTCTCACGTGCTTTACACTTTGTTTTTCTTTCTCATTAAAGAGACATTGGAATACTTGCTTGATTGCAGCAGGCGATAATTTGATCCTTTCCCTGAGTGTTTACCATCTAGCTATCCCATATTTTATTGCATTGTCAGAAAATGTGAGATATTTTGCTTCTGATATGCATGTTCAATTTGTTTAGCTTAGGTATTTTTGTTGTTGTTGATTATGTTGGTTTCTTTTGGTCAATGTTACACTTTAATTACTCTATTTTGATTAGGGCTGCTGTTGAATATGAGAAAAAGGCGCATGCTGATAACCTTGAACACAGTCAAGCAATGGAGAAAAATATGATTTCCATGGCTCGTGAGGTTGAAAAGTTGCGGGCTGAGCTCGCTAATGCAGAGAAGAGAGCACGAGCAGCTGCAGCAGCAGCAGCAGCAGCTAACCCAGGTATTAACTTCTTATTGTTCTCTAGAAAATTCCAACTGTCTGCTACCTTCAAACATGTGCAGATCATGACCACTTGAATGCTTCTCAATCTTAATATATGTTTTTCCTCTCTAGTTTCTGGATATGCTGGAAGTTATGGAAACCCTGAGATGGGATATGGAGGAAATTATTATTCTGATCCTTATGCCATGCATCAGGTATTTATTTAACTATCCAAGTTTTTTCTTCTAGATCTATTTTCTTCTGATGTAATCATTATAAAGTCTTTACTATACATGTTATGGGAATGCCAGAATGTACATCTCTTTGGCAGAAGACTCTTTCTGTGCCTTGAAACTGTTAAGGAAACTAAACTTGGTATGCTGATAGCCTAGCAAATAAATTGTACCATGGAGGTAGTGCCTTTTTTATGCATTATATAATTATACTGGTTAGATGACTCTCTAAATGTTATATTGAGGAATGGTGAAACAGGATTCATGTGGCCAACTGCAAATGGTTAGGAGTTGGGACAAGGCTTAGATGATGATGATATCTAGGAAAATTTTGAATGATTGTCATTAGTTCTCTTTCATGCTTCAATGTGGCAAACAAATTTTTGGCCTGCCAATTAGAAGAAATATACTTGGAGCTGCAAACCCATATTGGAAAATTTTGAATGATTGTCATTAGTTCTCCACATTCAATCTGATTATTAATTGGATGCAACTTCTAACATCCAAATCCAGGGTAATCAGATTAGGAGTTGGAATTATTAAGTGGAATAGTTGATTCCACTTTTTTTCTAGAAGTGCTAACTTCTTCAGACATGTGGCTACCTATAAAAAAACCACTTCAAAAGATGTGGGAGCTATATTAATGTGTTCAATTCAATTTTCTAATTCAAATAAAAGACTCATTATGATAAAATTTTTCAATGGTTTGGTCCCTTTCTTTTAGATAAAATAGGTTCTCAATTACAAATTAAACCCAATTTATTTATTTTTAACAAGGAACTCAAATTAAATATACCATATAAATAGTAAATCTCAAACACACAATGATATATAGGTGTAGTTGCCCTTGTACTCAGTATGGGGTCATTCTTTAGTTTTTATTCATTGGGGAGTGGGAGAGTTTGTTTCTGGATTTGATTCAAGAAACATTGGCATTGACCATTTCCAACTACAAATCACTGCTGTTGAGAAGATTTTCCAAGGTTGAAGGGACAATACCATTTAGATTTGAAATTATGTGGATTGGGCACCCTCTATTTCTAGAATTTGTTGAAAGTAAATGGAAGAGGTATAAAATACAAAGAAGAGCTGGTTTTAAAATGATGAGAAGCTGCAGCTCTTGAAATTTGAAAAAAAGGAGGATCTCGACATTTGAAGTTATACAACTTTTGGTGGTTTAGAATCAAGAAAAAAGGAGTTCATAGGGAAATTGGCAAGATTGGATAGGTTGGAGGATGAGAATAACTTGACAAGGGAGGGGAGAGTTGAAAAAGAAGCATTTGTTGAGAAGCAGCCCAAGATGCTATTTTCCCCATAGATTCTTCACCACTGTTTCCTCTGTTTCTTAAGGCTGCGTTTGGAATCGGAGTAAAAAAAGGGAGAAATGAAGGAAAGCTTTGTGGAGGCAGGTCGGTGGAGAAGAAATCTGAAAGTTGAAGCTAAGGATGCCCTGTTTTAGGAAGAGAAAGGTAGAGGAAAGCCGAGTCTGAAGATAAGGGAAGCAAGGAGGGCTATGGTTCTGTTGACTGGGATGGAAGTAGTGGAATGGCTGCAGAAGTTTGTGGAAGGGGCAAGATGCAAGATTGAAAGGTAAGCAAAGCAACGGGCAAGAGATTGCAGCTGAAGAAGGTAAGAAATATATAGTTGAAAGCAGAATGAATGCAAAGGGTTGCTACATATCTCTGGCTGAGTTTTTTGGTGGAGGAAAGAAACAACTGGTTTGTTTCCCAGCAGTAAGACAAAGTCAAGGTTGGAGGGAAGTGAGTAGTGTGCTTGAGGAAGTTTTGCTCCATGGAGTAAGAGTAACAAAGGGGAGTCCAGGGAGGGAAGAGGGGGTGTATCAGAGGTCCAGTATGTCTGGAAACATGGAGCAAGAGCCAGTGATTGTAGCAAAAGCCAATGGACAGTGCAGGTTGATGGAGCATTCAAAGAAGGAAAAATGGATTAGTAAGTTCATAATAGAGGTAGGGTTGGAATCTGTTGACTGGAGGAGTGTTGCAGATTACTTGATCTTGAATCTGAAGCTGGAGACTGAGTTTATTGTAACTCTCTTTGATAAATGTAAAGCTCTAGTTGATTTTGGGGAGAACAGAGTAAACTTCTTAGCAGTTAATTTTCAGACTGATCTAGGAACTATTACAATCTTCAGATGGAATCCCCTCTCTAATGCCAAAAAACTTCTCTATTGAAGATGGGGTTTTGGTACGGATAATCGGATTGCCTTTCTATCTTTGGAAGCAAGAAGTAGCAGATGTCATTGCACTGATGTGTGGAGGGAGACTGAATGCTGCTTACTGGGGAGACTTCCATTCTGCGGCTATTCTCCTGAGCGAAGTGAGGCCTGAAGATATACCAAGGAAGGTGGAAATAAGAGTGGAGGGTGTTTTCGTTTCAATCTGGCTGGCTTCCTCCATTGAAGCAGGCTTGTGGAAGGAAGCTAGAATGGAGGGAGGTGAGGAGTTTGAGGAAAAGCTGTACGTGGAAGAAGCATATTGGAGGGTTCGAAAAAGACTGGAAGTTATACTAAAATGGGCCAACAACTTTTGGGGAGCCAAAAAGACTTGGGGCATATGGAAAGTCAGAGGCTTAAAACACAAGAAACCCCTTTGACGCATAGCATAACCTTTGCATAGGTGGTTGGCAACACTGCCACCACAAACTTTAATGTTGAAGAGGGTAGTAAAGAGGTGACAAGTGTTAGAAAGCAAGTTGAAGTAAGAAACAAGGTGGTTGAACCGGGAGTTGAGGTGGGTCGAGTTGGTGGGTTAAGTAGTATTGTGGGGTCGGTTAAGAGCACTGAAACCATGGACCCTATTATTTTTCCTGGGCAAGGGTGAGAGGAAATCTTAATTCTCTTGGACCCAATTTTAAGCCCATAGCTATTAAGGATAAGGTTAAGTCATGTGCTCACTTAAAACAACACATGACTGGAGTTGGAGGGGTTCAGTCACATGCTCACTTAAAACAACACGTGACTGAAGTTGGGGGACTCAGTCACATACTCACTTAAACCTTTACTTGACTGAAATTGGGGGGGGGATCAGTTGATGGACAATTCTAATTGTCTATCTTCTTCCTCCTCGAGTTTAGAAAGCAGGGCAAAGTGTGCATTCTAGTAGCTCTTTTTAGTGGATCCTGATGAAGGGTGATTTGGCACGACCTAATAAGTAAAGGTCACGTGGACGCGATTTGCCCGAAGGATGACAACTCAACAAAAGGAACCTAGTCAACAGAATTTAGAGTTCGGGTGTTCAGTCATCTCGGCATAAAGGCACCTCGGCATAAAGTCACCTCGGTACCTAATCCAGTTAGCCCAAGAACCAAAGTAACACGTAATCGACTCTAAACCTCACGGGATCACACCGCGTAAACGGCTGGCATTATCCTCTCCCTGCCTGGATCGAGCGGAGATGATAGACTTCATTAACTAACACGCTACTCCCTGACTAAAGCGGAAACGGATCTCATCCACTCAGGCCGAAGACCCCAAAACTGTTTTCATGGGGTCCATAGCAGTTCAGCTATATAAGGGCATCAACCCCTCCGGGTCCCAGGTACACGCGATTATCTGCTTACTAGTACACTTATCATTCAACTTTCAGCTCGCAATACTAACTTAAGCATCGGAGCGACCTAGCTGGGTTAGCCACCCCGGGTTCTCTGAGCTTCATTGTTTTGTAGACCAGACCAGCTTGCCGCGCAGCCAAGTTCTAGATCATCCTCCAGCTAGGAGCATCCAGATTGCGCACCATTAGATCCCAACTAAGAGTTTGGATTGGTTGTCGCATGAGAGGTGGAATCCTAGATGTGTCAAGCGCATTGATTTAGAAAAGCTAGATTCTGCAGTTTGGCTTGGAGATGAAAGCAATTAAGCAACAACGATGATGACTATGAGTCAAATGGAGCTTCAAGTTTGGGTAGCCCCGGCTTGCAAGCTAAACAAAATCTGATTGAAACAGGGAGCCTAAATACAGAGGTGTTGTACTTAGAAGAAGAAAGGACTACTGCAGATTTTCTCAAGGAAGAACAAAGGGTAGGAGGTGCTGTGTTTGTTGGACAGATTCCACTATCCCATAATGAGGTAGCCAACGAAAAGTCTCAGGGCATACAGGACTTAAATGTAAGAGAACAATTCTCTCTTGTGAGCATGGATAAGGGTGAACTAGGAAGGGGAGTACTGGGATTGGATTTTCAAGAGGGTAGGCTAGATAGTGGTGCTTACTCTACCATGCCTATTCCACAGAAGTCTCCCTGTAAGGAAACGACACCAATTTCAGTTGGATTTGGCAAACAGTCTAGTCCTAGCGTTCCTTGTGCTATCCCTATCCAACCAGGGTACGGATGTCAATTTGTTTTTGATTGCTAACTAGTGTATTATGCCTGAAACAGAGGAACCAACATCCCACCCAGAAGGTAGAACAAGGGTACGATTGGAGGTGGAAGGTGGGGAGGTAGATAAAATTTGGGGACTGATTTGTACAGAGTTTGAGAGTCTCAAACAAAAGGAGGGATATGTGGACGGGTTCAGTGAAATGGTGATGGATAGGGGAAAGGAAGGGGTTGTTTATGATAAAGGAGGACTTCAGAGTTCAGTTTTGGAAGCTATTGGTGAGGGAGGTCAGGCCGAAGAGAGGGTTGAAAGGAAAGGACAGGTGCAAACTTATAATAAAAAGTGTGAGGCAAAAAGGAAAAAGGAAAAGAAGAAATGTTCTGAAGTGGAAAGATTAATTGGTGACATCAAAGGTAATATAGAGTTTAGTGGTAGAGGTGATAGGAGAAAGGGTATGAAGTAAGGATTTGTGCCTATGAGAATAGTTAGCTGGAATGTTAGGGGATTAGGGAGTGCAAGGAAAAGGAGGGTGATAAAGGATTTACTTAGAAAGGAAAGGCCTGACATTGTTATATTACAAGAAACAAAGTTGTTAGAGTTGGATAGAAGATGGGTGAGGAGTGTGTGGAGGTCAAGAGGAGTAAGGTGGACC